TTAGCTCGGCAAACGCTGCATCAGCTTCTGGAGTCCACTTGAACTTGTCTGCCTTCTTCATCAGTCGGTAAAGAGGCAACGCCTTTTCACCGAGGCGAGAGATGAATCGACTTAACGCGGCCAAGCATCCAGTAAGCTTCTGGACGTCGTGCACACGCACATGGTGCTTCATTCAGAGTATGGTACCAACCTTTTCTGGGTTAGCATCGATTCCTCGTTCGGAAACGAGAAAACCGAGTAACTTTCCGCCAGGTACTCTGAATGTGCACTTTGATGGATTGAGCTTGATATCATACCTCCTGAGATTGGCAAATGTTTCAGCTAAGTCAGTCAACAGGTCAGAACCCTTTCGCGACTTGATCACGATATCATCCATGTATGCTTCCACATTCCGACTGATTTGAGTGAGTAAACACTTTTGAATCATTCTCATGAACGTGGCTCCGGCATTCTTGAGGCCGAATGGCATGGTGATATAGCAGAAGCATCCGAATGGAGTGATGAAAGCTATTTTGATTTCGTCGGGCCCATACAGACGGATCTAATGATACTCGGAACAAGCATCTAGAAAAGACAATCTCTCGCATCTTGCGGTCGAGTCGATAATTTGGTCAATGCGAGGGAGAGGAAAATGATCTTTCGGGCAGGCCCGATTGATATGTTTGAAATCAATGCACATATGAAGGGAATTCTCCTTTTTGGGAACCATGACGACATTGGCGAGCCACTCGGAGTGGTATATCTCTCGGATGAACTCTGCTGCAAGGAGCCGAGCCACCTCCTCGCCAATGGATTTTTTCTTCTGGCGGACCGTCGAAGATGTTCCTTAACAGGTTTTGCTTTTGAATCGACTCTAAGGCGATGCTCAGCCAGTCCCCTGGGAACACCCGACATGTGAGCTGGCTTCCATGTGAAGATGTCCCAGTTCTCACGGAGGAACTGGATGAGCGCTTCTTCCTATTTAGAGTCGAGTGTTGTGGAAATATGGGTCGGAGCTGCATTGGCGTCAGTTGGGTGGATATGAACTGGCTTCGTCTCACCGGACGACTGAAACGCTGACTCTGTGGCGGGCTTCTTGGCCCGCAGTAAATCACTCGGATCTGCATTCTTCTTGTATCCCTCTAGCTCTACCACTGTTATCTGGTCATCCGCAATCTTTGAGCCTTTCTGAAAACACTCTTCCACTTTCTTTCGGTTGCCAGTGATGGTGATCACGCCTTTGGGGCCAGGCATCTTTAACTTGAGGTACACATAGCATGGTCGAGCCATGAAGCGGGCGTAGGCTGGTCTTCCCAAAATGGCGTGGTAGGCACTCTGGAAATCCACGACTTCGAATGTCAGCTTCTCTTTGCGGAAATGTTTCGAGTCGCCGAACACCACATCCAGAGCTATTTGGCCGAGTGACTCGGCCTTCTTTCCTAGGATGACTCCGTGAAAACTCATGTTGCTGGAACTGAGTCTGGACATCGGAATGCCCATTCCCTTGAGTGTCTCCGCATACAGTATATTCAACCCGCTGCCGCCATCCATCAATACCTTCGTCAGTCGAGTGCCTTCGACGACCGAGTCAACCACCAGAACTTGCCTCCCAGGGGTGGCAATGTGAGTAGGATGGTCAGACTGGTCGAAAGTAATGGGAGTTTGCGACCATCTCAGATAGTTTGGTGTCGCCGGGGCGACCATATTGACCTCACGGTTGATCACTTTCAGTTGACTTTTGCTCTCTACATCAGCAAAAATCATCAGAGTGGAGTTGACATGAGGGTACTCTCCATCACTATCCTTCTTGTCTTCAGCCTTGTCCGACTCCTTCTCTTTATCCTTCGGCTGTTTCCCTTGAAACTGCTGGATTAAAAGCCGGCACTGGCGAGTGGTATGCTTTGGGTAGATGAAGTTACCCTCTTTGTCTTTCTTCGTGTGAATATGACATGGAAGATCCATCACATCATTACCTTCCTTATCTTTTACCTTCTTGGGGTTCCAAGATCCTTTGGGCTTCCCTTTGAATTTGCCCTGAGTCACGGCCAGAGCCTCTCCAGGCGCTGCTGGCTCGGCCTTCCGCTTTTGCTTCCGACTGGAGTTTCCTTTATCCGACTGACTCGGCTTGTACTTGCCACTCCGGAGTCGGTCCTCTTCTTCGCCGTTGGCGTACTTGGTGGCTATTTCCATCATCCGACTCAGGGTCATATCTCCAATTCGACCAAACTTCAGGCTCAACTCTCTGTTCTTGACGCCATCTTTGAAGGCGCAAACTGCTTGATGGTCTGACACATTCTCTACAGTATGATGTAAAGTGATCCACCTCTGGATGTAATCCCTCAGTGTTTCACTCGACTTTTGTACACAAACTTGCAGCTCAGTCAATCCGGCAGGTCGCTTGCAAGTTCCCTCAAACGTCCTGACGAACACTCGAGAAAGATCTTCCCAAGTGTAAATGCTGCTAGGAGCTAACTGATTCAACCACGCCCTGGCCGAACCCTCTAGCATAAGTGGCAAATGTTTCATGGCCACCTCATCATTACCGCCACCAATCTGAACAGCCACTCGGTAGTCTTCGAGCCAAGTTTCAGGCTTAGACTCTCCAGTGAACTTACTCACCCCAGTCGCCAACCTGAAGTTGGGGGGTATCACTGCGGCTCTGATCGCTCTGCTAAAACATTCTGGACCTGAAACGTGGACTCGGCTGCTTGTGGGCACATCTTTGTCATGACTACCTCTATGAGCTCTGTTTCGGTCGACCAAACCTTGCACGATGATGGATCTAGCGTCAAAGCCTGGCTTTCCGGGGTCGACTGGAGCTCTCCGCCCAACACTGAGCTGGCGTCTGTCATCTTGCTACCGATGGGCGTTAGACCCACTTCTCGGAGGAGGAGTGGGCACTCGAGGCCTCTCATCACGATCAAATCGATCATCATAGTGGTCCCGCCGGCCTTCACGTCCCATGCGCCTCAGAGGCGACCTTGGACTGTGAGCTGACTGAACAGTATTTGCAGCGACGGATCGACTGTGAATCCTGCTGCGCGACTGTGACACAGCTGAATTCTGATCTCCTGCCGCCCGAAGCAAATCTCTAATCTGCATCAAGCCTCTTCCAGCCTCTGACTGAGAGGGCTGAATTGACTCCGCTATGCGGGCTGCAGCTGCCAAATTCTGAATTGGGGTTTGATATACCTGAGTTGGTTGCGGAAAGAGCTGACGTCGGTTGGAGTTGGTCACTTGTTGACGTGCACGCTTGTCGAGTGCTCGCTGGAGGTTCTCCAGTCGAGTGCGTTCAGCCAGGTTGGCTAAACGCGCCTCTTCCAGGGCACGAGCCTCAGGAATTTCTCCTGCAATGGGAGTATGCAGGGCATCCATGTTCCGGCGGCGAAGTTCTTCCCTCTGCTGGGAAGTGAGCGGCTCGGGTTGGTACTCTTCATGGGCTTGAGCAGGGTCATCCTCGTCGTCCATCCCGTCGCCGCGGGGGAAACCGGGAGGACTACGGGGCCCGTTGACCATCAGGACCTCCGCCGCTGGATCACTGGTATCGCACTCGGATGCAGTCTCTACGGAGCCAGTCAACAGGTTGAACAGGCCGTAGAGAGATTCGTCGGGCTCAATCGCCGCGACTTGGGTGGTGGCCGATTGGAGAGCCACCGCGTGTCTCACCCAACGCTGGAGCCTCGACCGACCGGAGCGCTTGCGCTGGCGGGAGACAGGGAGGGAGGACGGCGCAGGAGTCGACCGGTACGGGGTCGACGGCTGCCGTAGCAAGACGCCGCGGACACACGCCCGAAAGTGCGTCACCCCGCGGACGGGAGCGCGTCGATGTCGAGTGGTGCCTCCTGGAGCCAAGCGGAGTCGTCTGCGATGAAAGTGAGCGCACCGAGACGGATCTCGTGGCCCTCGACCAGAGCTCCGCCGGAAACCATGATGAAGGCGATCGGACAAATTGCAACTTCTCCAAAAAAGTCGCTAAGACACCTGCCCCACGGTGGGCGCCAACTGTCGTGGTTCTAAGTCTGACAGTAGAATGGGGGGTAGATATGGAGAGGCAAGATCCTAGCTATGGAGTAGTTGTACACACGAGTGTTTAGCGAGTTCAGGCCCTTCTCGGAGGAAGTAACAGCCCTACGTCTCGGAGCCCGGAGGCGGTCGACTGATTTCTGTGTATATGAGTTACAGGGGTGCGAACCCTTCTACCAGTGGAGGGGGGTGGCTTATATAGAGGACGCCAGGACCCCAGCCCTCCCATGTAGCAGAGGATTAAAGTACATTAAGGCCGGGAGTTACTGGTAACACCCTACTTAAAGTGTCATCATGACCATTAAGACTACTTAATTACAGACCGTTTGGATGCAGAGTAGATCCTGAACTCCTGATGGTCGAGTGGGTCTTGATGGTCGAGTGTCTTCAGGTTTGTCGAGTGTCTTCTAGCCAGTCGAGTGAAGTTTCTCTTGGTCGACTGGAAGGTAGCTTCGTCTAAGGATGTCCTTGGGCATGGTACCCTAGATAGGTCTATGACCCTACCCTAGGTACATATCCTCATCACCTACCTTATGGTCCCGCACGTCCCGCGTGACAGTCACCATGCGTCCCCACAGTTGCCATGGTCTGGACCCTCTTCCATGTTCATTTAACTGCAGTTGCCATGTCGCTGAACTACAGTTGCCATGTCGGACAACTACAGTTGCCATGGTTGCTCAACTGCAGTTGCCATGTATGGTCTGGTCTACTGCAGTTGCCATGATTTCAAGAACTTTAGAAGTTGCCACCTACTAACACTAGGCAGTTGCCATGTAGCACTACAAAACAAGCATGGCAAAAAAACATGTTCGGATAAAAAAGAGAGTTGCCATGTGCTCACAAGCACGTTAGGGCAGTTGCCATGTAAAAGAAAGAGTTGCCATCTGCTTATGTGCACGCTAAGGCAGTTGCCATGTATCATGCAAAAATACATGGCAACTCGGGTAAAAAAGAATTGCCATCTGCTTACAAGCAAAGCTAGAACAGTTGCCATGTACCCTGCAAAAACACATGGCAACTGACAGCTTTGGGTGTGGGCGAGGAGACGGGTGTGTGGGCGAAATGATATACGCCCACACACCAGCCCCTCTGCGTGCGTGAAAATTGGTGTGTGAGCGAATTGCTAAACACCCACACACCAGCCCTCCGTGTGGTGAAAAAAGACGTGTGGGCGACCGGATGAATGCCCACACATCAGCCCAGTCCTACGTGACACACAAAAACTGCTAGAACGTGCCAAGATTCGTGCAGAATTAGTTGGACGAGGATCCATGCGCGTGGGCGAGTTGCCAAACGCCCACACGTGTGGGCGTTAGTCTTTTCGTTTCTAATTGAGCGCGTCAAACTCTATGGAAGTTCATTAGACATAGAAGAGAATGATGTGAAACGACGTAAACAAAAACAAGGAGAACTCTTTATAAAAAGTTTGGGGGGAATGTGGCATCCTTATATAATGATTAAACTCCAATGCCAAATAACAAAATTCTCCTTTCAGTTCCGGTTGACAAATTCTCCCTTTTTAACTTCTCATGACAATTTATTTCGCAAAAAAAAAACTTCTCATGACAATTTGCAGATATTGATAATTTAAATTGTTGACCCGTACTCTTTCTCTGACGCATATAAAGAATTAAAAAGCTTTTCCTTTTCAGTTTCTCAGGAAACGCAGGTGTTCTTATTTGTAGGGAAGACGAAGAGATAACTGAAGTAGTCCTGAAATTCCATGGCTATACGAGAGAGAGAACCTGTACCTGCTCTGCGTGACATCATAAATTTGCCCCTTGATGGCCATGAGGAGCGGCTTCTTGGGGTCGGACCCATCATAAATCCCCAGCTCCTTCTCCGTCACCTCACCAAGCTGCACCGGTGGCGGCAGCGGCTCGAGCGTCCTCTCGTCCTCCGCCTCCCTCCTTATCGGCGGCGACGGCGCTGGCCGCGTGAATAAGCCGGAGACGTAAAGCACGGCGATCACCGCAACAACCGCGGTGAACGCCTCCGGCGGCAGTCCTGTGTACGCCGCGATGGTCGCCTTCGCTGCCTCCCACCACTCCCCAGCTGCAGCCAACGCCATGGACGATGGCACAGGTGAGATGGTATTATAAAACAACGTTGAGGTGGAAGGGGAGTGGAACCAAGGGACGCGCCAAGTGTGCTATGGGGCCGGAGAAAATCGCGCGGTCGATTTAGAGTTGAGACAGAGCACTCGACCCGACGCTCTTATCAGAGGGAAATAAGGGAATCCATCTAGAAAGTTTAGAAAGTTGCACAAAGACGGGGCCGTACGTACGTGTTGTTCTTGTCATGAACAAGTCTTTTCTGATCCATGGTTTTGGTTGGGAATCCATGAAGATTGGTGATGGCATCTGGCCAGTTTTTCCGTCGATGGTCTTGTGCAAAATGCGTATGATGTCACGAGATTTTATCTGTTCAGCAATGCACAATACATCAGAGAAACTGTACAAGTTTTCTTTTACAGCAGGCGTAAAGGTGTGAGCTAGCACATCTGCACGAGCAGAGATCACCCTTCCTTTAGATCGAAGACCATCCTGGTAGTGGTACGCTTAAGTTAGAATAAAGAAACATATCGGAACATCGTTCAGATGACGTGCGGGACATTCAGTGACAGCGGATGGAGCACCAACCTGCTCCTGTCATCTTCTACCGTCCAACTGAAGCTCAAAAAAGATAGGAGGAAAGAAGGTTGTGCCGGTTCAGGGATATGAGACGATGTGTGAAGCTGGAAGGAAATAGGTATGCGCTCTAAGTCATGTAGGTGGACTGTCTCGATTTGACATCAGAATTGTGCGGTCCTGCTTTTATCAAAGTCTCACGGCAAAGTTCCATATACTCATCATGGTGTTGACATTCCATAGCACCAGGGCCGGTCCTGGTATTTTGGGGGCCCGGGGCGAAACTAAAACTCAGGGGCCTCTTTATGCTAGAGGGAAGCATGTCCTTCGTATGTATAGAGTGGGCAGATCGCCGGACTTTCTCGGAGGGAGAATGGGCTCATAGATACGATTTAGAAAACAAAGTCCTAGCTATTCTGCGTGCGGAGGAGGAATATTGGCGCCGTAGGAGCGGCGTCAAGTGGGTTACTAAAGGAGATGCTAACATAGGGTGCTTTCACGCGTTTGCCAACGGTAGAAAGCGCAAGAGTACTATCCTGCGGCTCCAATCTGACAACGGCCTTCTGTTAACCAACGAACACATAGTGGCTCACATTTATGAGTTTTTCATAGGCCTTTTGTGGATGGCCAAAGAAAAAGCTCTTTGCCTCCGTGAGGATTTGTGGGACCCAACGGAACGGGTATCGCAGGAGGAGAACGAAGGGCTCGTGCTCTCTTTCCTTCCGGAGGAAATCGACAAAGCTCTAAATGACATGAAAACCGACACGGCTCCGGGTCCGGACGGATGGCCGGTGGAATTTTTCAAGAAATTTTGGCTTTCATCTCAAGCATATTTTCTATGAGATCGTGAACGCTTTTGCATTAGGTACGGTAGACCCGTCGCGGCTTAACTACGGGGCTATTAGCTTGATCCCTAAGGTGAAAGGGGCCGATGACATCAAACTTTTTAGGCCGATCACGCTGATGAACGTGCCTTTCAAGATTTGTGCGAAAGCCTATGCTTCTCGATTGTCTCCGGTGGCTCAACGTGTGATTAGTCCTAGTCAGACCGGCCTCCTCAAACACCGTAACATTTTAGAAGGCCCCTTAGCGCTTCTAGAAATAGTTCACGAGCTTAAGCGCACCAAAGCGCGTGGTGTTCTTCTCAAGTTGTACTTTGAGAAAGCCTATGACCGCGTGAACAGGGAGTTCGTGCGTGAGGTCCTCATCAAGAAGGGTTTTGATGCGGGTTTCGTCCACCGAATCATGCACCTCGTGTGTAGCGGGCACAAGACGGTTACCATCAACGGTACAATGGGCAAATTCTTCCGCAACAAGCTGGCCTGCGGCAGGGAGACCCGAGCTCACCACTAATCTTCAATTTTGTTGCGGATGCCCTAGCTGCATTGATTAAAAAGGCCAGGGAAGCGAGGCAGATTAGAGGGCTAATCACCCACCTCATACCTGGCGGTGTCACCCACCTTCAATACGCAGATGACACGATGATTATGTTCGAACCTAACGATCATAGTATAGCGTCGATCAAGCTTCTGCTGCTTGCTTTTGAGATCTTGTCGGGGCTTAAGATCAATTTCCAAAAAAGCGAGGTGATCACCATTGAGATGGAGGACAGTGCGCGGATTGCCAATTTGCTTAATTGCAAGATTGGGAAATTCCCAATCAAATACCTAGGACTCCCGATTTCACATAAGAATTTGACCATAGCTGAATGGGAGCCGCTATACGGCAAAGTCGCTAATCGGGTTAGCCTGTGGCGAGGAAGGTTTATGTCATCAGCAGCAAGGCTGATTTTGACCAATTCTAGCCTGTCCTCCCTCCCCCTCTTTACGATGGGAATGTTCCTACTTGCGGACGGGGTCCATTCCAAACTTGACACCCCGCGGTCCAGGTTCTTTTGGGAAGGAACTGAGATGAAACGCAAGTATCATTTGGTGAAATGGGCTGCGGTGTGCAGACCAAAAAAGTTCGGTGGTTTGGGGATCACGAACTCTAAGCTCATGAATGTTGCCCTGCTCACCAAATGGTGGTGGCACCTTGCCCAAAACGGGTCTCTAGGCGGATATCCTTCAGGCTAAATATTTCCCTGTTGGGGAACGTAGCAGAAATTCAAAAAATTTTCCTACGAATCACCAAGATCTATCTATGGAGAGACCAGCAACGAGTAGAAAGAGAGTGCATCTACATACCCTTGTAGATCGCTAAGCGGAAGCGTTCAAGTGAACGGGGTTGATGGAGTCGTACTCGTCGTGATTCAGATCACCGATGATCCTAGTGCCGAACGGACGGCACCTCCGCGTTCAACACACGTACAGCCCGGTGACGTCTCCCACGCCTTGATCCAGCAAGGAGAGAGGGAGAGGTTGAGGAAGACTCCATCCAGCAGCAGCACAACGACGTGGTGGTGATGGAGGAGCGTGGCAATCCTGCAGGGCTTCGCCAAGCACCTACGGGAGAGGAGGAGGTGTCACGGGAGGGAGGGAGGCGCCAAGGGCTCAGGTATGGATGCCCTCCCTCCCCTCCACTATATATAGTGGCAGGGGAGAAGGGGGAGGCGCAACCTTGCCCCCTACTCCAAGAAAAGGGTGCGGCCAAGAGGGGGGGAGGAGTCCATCCTCCCCAAGGCACCTCGGAGGTGCCTTCCCCCTCGAGGACTCTTCCCTCTAGGGTTCCCTAGGCGCATGGGCCTCTTGGGGCTGGTGCCCTTGGCCCATGTAGGCCAAGGCGCACCCCCTACAGCCCATGTGGCCCCCCGGGGCAGGTGGCCCCACCCGGTGGGCCCCCGGGACCCTTCCGGTGGTCCCGGTACAATACCGATGACCCCGAAACTTGTCCCAATGGCCGAAATAGGACTTCCTATATATAAATCTTTACCTCCGGACCATTCCGGAACTCCTCGTGACGTCCGGGATCTCATCCGGGACTCCGAACAACATTCGGTAACCACATACAAGCTTCCTTTATAACCCTAGCGTCATCGAACCTTAAGTGTGTAGAGCCTACGGGTTCGGGAGACATGCAGACATGACCGAGACGTTCTCCGGTCAATAACCAACAGCGGGATCTGGATACCCATGTTGGCTCCCACATGTTCCACGATGATCTCATCGGATGAACCACGATGTCAAGGACTCAATCGATCCCGTATACAATTCCCTTTGTCTAGCGGTATTTTACTTGCCCGAGATTCGATCGTCGGTATACCGATACCTTGTTCAATCTCGTTACCGGCAAGTCACTTTACTCGTTCCGTAACACATCATCCCGTGATCAACTCCTTGGTCACATTGCGCATATGATGATGTCCTACCGAGTGGGCCCAGAGATACCTCTCCGTTTACACGGAGTGACAAATCCCAGTCTCGATTCGTGCCAACCCAACAGACACTTTCGGAGATACCTGTAATGCAACTTTATAGCCACCCAGTTACGTTGTGACGTTTGGTACACCCAAAGCATTCCTACGGTATCCGGGAGTTGCACAATCTCATGGTCTAAGGAAAAGATACTTGACATTGGCAAAGCTCTAGCAAACGAACTACACGATCTTTGTGCTATGCTTAGGATTGGGTCTTGTCCATCACATCATTCTCCTAATGATGTGATCCCGTTATCAACGACATCCAATGTCCATAGCCAGGAAACCATGACTATCTGTTGATCACAACGAGCTAGTCAACTAGAGGCTCACTAGGGACATATTGTGGTCTATGTATTCACACGTGTATTACGATTTCCGGATAATACAGTTATAGCATGAATAAAAGACAATTATCATGAACAAGGAAATATAATAATAACACTTTTATTATTGCCTCTAGGGCATATTTCCAACAGTCTCCCACTTGCACTAGAGTCAATAATCTAGTTCACATCGCCATGTGATTAACACTCACAGGTCACATCGTCATGTGACTAATACCCAAGAGTTTACTAGAGTCAGTAGTCTAGTTCACATCACTATGTGATTAACACTCAATGAGTTTTATGTTTGATCATGTTGCTTGTGAGAGAGGTTTTAGTCAACGGGCCTGAACCTTTCAGATCCGTGTGTGCTTTACAAATCTCTATGTCATCTCCTAGATGCAGCTACCACGCTCTATTTGGAGCTATTCCAAATAACTGTTCCACTTGGAGCTATTCTAAATTGTTGCCCCATAATACGTATCCGGTATCTCTACTTAGAGCTATCCGGATAGGTGTTAAGCTTGCATCGACGTAACCTTTACGACGAACTCTTTTACCACCTCCATAATCGAGAAAAAAAATCCTTAGTCCACTAATTTCTAAGGATAACTTTGACCGCTGTCCTGTGAGCCATTCTTGGATCACTCTTGTACCCCTTGACTGACTCATGGCAAGGCACACTTCAGGTGCGGTACACAGCATAGCATACTGAAGAGCCTACGTCTCAAGCATAGGGGACGACCTTCGTCCTTTCTCT